ACTTAAGGCAATAACTGTTAACCAATTCATTTCATCAAAAATATCAGCGAGAGTTTAACTCATGAATCGCCACGTCAACAGAATGTATTTATTGACGGCATTAAAAATCGCTCTCTGTACGTCCATCTCCCTCTCCTTGTCCTCCAACAACAAGGTCTTAGTCTTAACCGTAGCCAAAAAGTGCAGTTCCAACAACATGTTAGTCCGTGCCACAGTATATCTCTTACAATCAAAAAAATAGTGTGTTAGCGTCTCTCCTACATGACATACATCACACAAGGGAGAATCAACACATCTTCTCATAAATAGATTAGCATTTAGAGCAATATTTCCGGTTTTCAATCTCATGTACTGTATTTCCGCCTTCCTACTCAAAAACATCAAATCTTTTGGAAAAGGTGACAGTGTTCGATTATTTAAAATTTCCGTTTTCATTCTTTCACACATAACTTTAGGTTCAACTACTTTTGAAGCTTTGTTTTCTGAAGCGTAGATTGTTGTCTCATGTTATTTTTTCTTATATCTTGTCTGAAAAAAACCTTTTTCTCTGAAAATTTTTTTTATTTGGAATTATTTACTTTGTTGAGGAAATTTGGGAGAAAAAATGAAGTAATATTAGTGATCATAATGTATAATTATAAAATATATGTCAAAAACTAATTTGACGAAGAAACAGCAGGAACAGTTTTGCAAAGTTCCCAACTAGTGTCTGATAGAATAAAATGACTTTGAAGGCACAGACTGTAGTACAAAAGAGATCGATTCATATTTTAGAGAAACAAGTTTACTCCTCTCTTTCATAAATGAGATGTTTTATGCATTAGTCAACTTAAAAGCAGCACAATATCTAGACAACTTCTGTCATTTTGAGATACCAAAGACAAGACTTGCAAGAAATGAACCGGTATATTTGAGATTTCCTCCATGTAGATGTGCTTTTATCTGCTCTTAGATATCTGCAATATGCTTTTATAGGCTTCTAGATATCTACGATCTGTTTTTATATATCCTCAGATATCTTTAGATTTCTTGTTTTTCTAATCGTATATCTATCTATAGATGACAATTTACTACCGTACACAGACACGCAAGAGAACGAACCGTTTTCATTCTGTTTTTTTTTTGTTGTGTCAAAAATGAAAAACAAATGTGAGGCACGTTCAGGATAGAAAAGCAAAGAAGATATTTATTATTTGATACGGGTCTATTACAGCTTTCTCTTTTGGCGTATCTTGATCTTTTCCTGATGTTTCGCATACGTCAGACATATTCTTTTTGTCATAAAAATTAGGTCGTCGACTGCTTAATGTGAAATAAAAAGTGTGCTGCAATATGGCTGATTGGATTCCGGGTATTTCACAAGTAAAAAGTCTCTTTCAAGTTGCATGTGGAGATTTGAAAGGTGCAGCAAAAACACAAGACAATTTTATTAAGCAATGTCCTGGAGTTTCACAGGTAATTAAGGTTTTCTTTTGCTGCTCTTCGACATATTTTAAAAATTGAAAGCAGTTTTTTTAAGGTTACTTCCGTCGTTCAGTTAGTGACTGGTGATGCAGATGGAGCACTCGAAACACAAGTGAGTATACTTTTTTGCTATGATGGGTTCGAATTATTCATGCTCAATGCAGCAATTCAATTCCTGCAATTTGCATTGCTTTCTAGCTTTTTGGTGCGTTCTTCATCGAAGTACAATCCAAGTGATCCGTCCAGCAAGAGCAGGCGGACATTTGAGTGTCAAACCGGTATATGTTTTTTGGTAATAAAGTCCATACACTTGCGACACACGACGAGAAAAATGAATTTCAAAGAAAAATAGTTTTGAAGTGGAGCTTTACACTGAAGATTTCGGACAAATGCGGTTCAGCAAAAAAAACTCAAATTCTTACATACTATTCGATACAGTTTTTAGTGCTGATTTCGACTATGGGGATAAAATATTATCTCTAGGCCAAGAAAAGATAGTCTCATCTCAAAAACGAGGCTTTTTTTGAAAAACATGTTTCTCCGCGTGGATGAAAAATAAGACAGGACAGTGGGACTAGGTAAAGGAAGAGAGCCGATCATTCACAGCCAAGGCTGGTCGCACCCGAGCTGCCATAATGTCTCATTTTGCTTTTTTACATGAAAGTTGTTTGCAAAATCCTCTAGAAAAACACCTTTTTCGGTTATTTTGGAAACAAGTTCAGTGTAAAGAGACAAAATGAATGTCGAGCTGGCTCAGTTTTTGTAGCACGTCTATTTGTAGGATGTAAAACGCACAGATCAGGCCCCCGTGTACTTGACAGAGTTGAACTTTCTGATATAATACTGTAACGATATTCTTTCTTTTTCTTCAGAAACAATGTCTTGGTACACTTTCACGTGTGGCAGATGGTGTGCCAGTCGTTGGTCATGCCAAAGGTCTTATTCATTATGCAGCAGGCGATACCCAAGGAGGTCATCGAGCTATGAGAAGTTCAACTCGCACCTGTGGTATGTTGTGTTTTTTTTGTCAAACTGAGTAGTTGATTTGAATTTCTGCTACGCTAATTTTAGCCGTAATGGGGGCTGGCGCGGCTGGATTTGTTGCTGGTGGACCGGTGGGCGCAGTGGGTTTAGGTGTAGCTGCAGGAGCAGGAATGGACAGTATCTATACAGTGGCTACCGATACGCCGCAGGGTTACGTAGCTGCAGTGAAGAATGTGGTGGAAAATCCGTCTGCTGGTATGTCCTACTGAATTCTATATTTCCCTGTTAGAATTTTGCAATTTCAAGAAAACGCCTCAAAACGGCCAATATTCACTTTCTTGCGTTATGTGTTGCTCATCGTCGCGCGCGATTTTACTCGTTTTCAGATGTTAAGACGATCGATTTTAGGCGTTTTTATTCGTGGAAAACGCGTTGAATCGTCCTATAAAACGCAAAAGAACCAAGGGGAAAATAGCTGACTCCTGGACTTCAGAAGTCCATGGGAGTCCAGGAGTCCGCTATTCTCCCCTTGAAAAGAACACACAAAGACTGTTAAGAAACTCCTAAAATCGCGCTGGACGAACTGAGAATAAAAGCTAACGCAAAAAAGTGAATAGTGGCCGTTTTGAGACGGTTTTTTGAAATTGCAAAGCGGGGAATAAATCATTCACAAAGCCCTTCGCTTGAAAAGCATAAGTTGATGGAGCAAAGCTGTCGCATTGACTCGAAATTTCAAACGGTGTATTTGGATTTTTTTAGTTTGGAAAAGCTTCTTTACGCGGATGCCATAAGTCGTTCAGCATTATCGATTTTTTCGTTTCTTCTAGGTGGACTTTTTGATATGGCTTTGATGCCGGTAGGCGATGGTATGACCGGAATGGCTGGTGGAGCTATTGCTAGAAGTGTTCAAAATAATGTGCAGCTTCAACAAGCTGCCGAATTGTATAATCGAGCTGATGCTACTTTACAGGCTGCCGAAGCCAATGTTCAATCAATGACTTCAGGTGAATATATGCAACAAATGAATACGGCAGCTGATCTTTTTAAAACAGCACAAAATATTGAACAGGCAGTGAATGGTAAGTAGTTAGTCTTTCATGAAAAACTAATGAGAGCCAGCCAAACTTCAAGTCTTTCATCTTCAAAACAGGTCCTCCTCCTCCGTCGACGTTCTCTGCTGCGGGCAAGTCGGGTGAAAGCGCAGCAGTAACAACAGCTGGACAGACAGCTACACCTACAGTTACAATTGTAGTACCAGAATCGGGCCTACTTGAGACAGAGCAATCTACTCGTCGAGTGTATGTGAAACGACATAGACGAAATGATGGAGTCTATGAAATTGAAATAGCCGGTGAAGCTGAAGCATCTGCTACTGTTACCTTTCTTAATGTGGAAAATGCACCTACAGCAATGCGTAACGTTCATGCAAATCTAGCTATGGTAAGTGCTTTTATTCATACAGATCTGAAGAAAGATACTTTTCATTCTTTTGTTGCAGGGAAAATTAGATAATTCAGTTCGTGGTTTCGATCATATACTTGTGAGACATCGAAATGATTTTCAACAACTTGGTCTGAGTGTCAATGGTGTTGATCGATGGAATGATCAAATTACTGTGATCACATATTTGCGTAATACGATGCGTGCTTCGAATTTCATCGGACAAGAATTTAGTCACAGTGGTAAATGTATAAGCACATTAGTTTTCTTACATAATCAAAAAAAGCAGTACACTCACATGTTTTAGGATCTTTACGTTTCGCCTGGAGAGTGAAAGACATCCTTGGTCGAGAGCGTATCCTTGTTGTCGGTTACAGTAGTCAAACCTATGAGATCGCAGACAATTCTGAAATTCGTGGTCCATTTCGTGAAATTATGAGTGCATTTCTTCTGGAACCTAATGAAAAAGGCGTGTTTACTCGACCTTCAAATTTTGTTGATAGTTGTAGAAGATCAAAAAGTGCATAAATGAAGAATTATCACACAACAACAATATAACGACAACTCGGCAAATCTTTCTTTTTGACAATTGACGTTCTTCTTTTTTTAATCATTGTGTAAAAATACTCTCTGTAGTTCTGAGCTTTTAGATTTCATCAAAAACCTTACAGCTTGTTTATTTTAAGCTAGATTTTTTAGTTGCTTTTTTCCAAATAAAACCAGATATTTTTAGTGATAATAAAATACACATCTAGAGATGCTATCCGCAGTATCCAATTTTGTTGAAAGGAGCATGGACATATGTTTTCAACTCAGTTTCTTACCCATGTCAAATTCTTTTCACGAATTCTGCAGAAATGTGCGTTTTTTGGCACTTCTGTGGTCACACTAACGTTACGCCAGAAATCACATTATCCTCATATGCGTTTTCTCGCGCTGTATTTTTTCACGTCAAAACAAACAGAAAAACGATTGTTTTTACCATTTATCGCACAATCTTCTGTTGCATTATACTGCGTGTGATTTTTTAACACAAGAACGTCATGTTTTTTCCTGAAGAAATCGGTGTTTTTCCACAAGAACTTCATTTTTCCCGTGAAGAAGTTCGTGTTTCTTCACAAGAACTTCATCTTTTCTGTTCAAGAACTTGGTCTTTCTTCACGAGAACTTCATATTTTTACCTGAAGAAGATGGTGTTTCTGCAAGAGAACTCCATCTTTTTTCTTGAAGAAGTTGCGGTTTCTTCACGAGAACTTTATCATTTTTGCTCAAGAACTTCGTCTTTCTTCCGAAAAACTTCATGTTTTTTCGTGAAAAGCTTCGTGTTTGTCCACGAGAGCTTCAACTATCTTCCTGAAAAAGTGGCGGTTTCTTCAGGAGAACTTCAGCTGTTTTCCTGAAGAACTTGGTGTTTCTACCCCAAGAACCGAGTGTTTCTGCTGGTGAACTTCATCTTTTATGTTCAGGAATTTGATGTTTGTTCAAGAGAACTTCAGCTTTTTCCTGTAGAACTTGGCAATTCTTCACGAGAACCTCATCTTTCTTCCTCAAGAACTTGGTGTTTCTTCACGAGAAATTCATGTTTGTTCCGAACTTCATGCTTTTTCCCGAATAAACAGCCGTTTCTCCACAAGAACGTCATGTTTTTTCTTGAAGCAATAGGTGTTTCTGCACAAGAACTTCATCCTCTTTCCCGAAGCAAGCGCTGTGTCTTTACATGAACTAAATATTTTTTCTGCAGAAATCGATGCTTCTCGACAAGAACGTCATGCTTTTTCCCGAAGAAATCGATTTATTTCACAAGAACTTCACTTTTCTCGTGAAGAAGTCCGTATTTCTTCACAGACCTTCACCTTTTCTGTTCAAGAACTTGGTCTTTCTTCACGAGAACTTTATCTCTTTTGTTAAGAGCCTAATGTTCCTACATGAGCACTTCATCTTTTTTCCTCAAGAACTTGGTCTTTCTTCTAAGAACTTCATGTTTTAAGTGAAGAAGTTGCCGTTTCGTCACGAGAACTTCATCTTATCCGTTGACGTTCTTGCGGAATAAACCGATTTCTTCAGCAGAACGCATGACGTTCTTCTCGAGAAACACTAATTTTTACACGAAAAGCCATGACGTTCTTGTGGAGAAACAGCGATTTCTTCTGGAAAAACATGACGTTCCTGTGGAGAAATAGCGATTTGTTCTGCAAAAAGCATGAAGTTCTCGTGAAGAAAGACCAAGTTCTTGAGGAAAAAAGATGCACTGCTCATGCAGGAACACCAAGGTCTTGAACAAAAAAGATGAAATTCTTGTGAAGAAACACGGACCGACTAAAATTAATATTAATAAACCGAATTAATACAGCGATTTCTTCAGCAAAACACATGACGTTCTTCTCGAGAAACACTCATTTTTTCACGTCATGACGTTCTTGTGGAGAGACACCGTCTTCTTCAGGAAAAACCAAGACGTTCTTGTCGAGAAGCACCGATTTCTTCTGGAAAAAACATGAAGTTCTTGTGAAGAAATGCCGACTTCTTCACGAAAAAACATGACGTTCTTGTGGAGAAGAGAATAATTTTGCCGAGATTTGAGCAAAAATCTCGGCGAAAAAATTGGAAAAAAATCAAAGTTGTCTAAAAATTTCGCGAGAAAGATTGTTCAATGCACCTTTTAACGGTGATTCCAAAGATGATGTTGGTTTTGAGAAAAAATTGAAATTTGATGGTGAAAACTGCAAAATATGAGTGCATTTCCTTGATTTTTCTCGTATTTAAATTATAATGGACTGAGCCAATGGTATGTAGAGTTTGTTTACTCAAAATATTGTACAGCTTTCCAAGAGCTATTTTTCTATGCATCCTCGTTTGCATATGGCGAAAAAAGTACTTAAAACATCCGTAATACCGCGTTTCATGTCAATTTGTCTGTTGTAAAAATAATGTACCCAAGTACCCTCCTTTACTTGAAAAGTTCACAAGTACTGTCCTCATTATTTATTCCAAGTACTTGCGCAAATATGTTCACTAGGGGATAGATTTAGCTTTGACTCTTACTGCAATAGAAAGACATGGAGAAAAAAAATCAGAAGTCATTGATGATTTTAATTATTTTCTTGCTGTTGACATTTATAATCAAACATTTCAACATCTAAGCTTACGGGTACTCTTTTTTGAAAAAAGTTTCGAATATGAATTAAACATCGACTAATGTACAGAAAAAGCCTGAGCTACAAAATAAAATCTCTTTCACTTGTCCAACGGATGGAGCCGACGGGAAACTGGCAGCCCGTGAGACGAAGTCAATGGATAGGTTCATCTGGTCTTGCTCGAGGTCGTGCCAAGCGGCGATATGTGACATGTGTAAACGTCGATTGCAGGACGATGAAATAAAATGCATCGAAAAGATTAAGCAGATTGACGTGTCAGCACAAGTCGAACAGACGACACTGCCACTCTACGGTCGAACGAATCGACAAACGATCGAATATCCGAGAATAGTGATGCAAGAATTTAACCAACAACAATCGAATGCTGTTTAAAAGAATCTCTCATGAGACGGCAACTAGATGTATTAATCATATTTTATTAAAAGTTACACTGATTGAATGAAAGAAGAGATATTTTCTATCGTTCCAAGTAACTAAAATGGAAAAATAAAAATGGAAAATGTCTGTCCGAAAATGTGAAGTTCTTTGTTACACTAAATGTTTTCTTTCTGCAAATTTAAAACTTCTGTAGTTTAAATATTCTCGAAAAACTTATCGTAGATATCGAAATAAGAAGATTCCTGCGCAGTTTTCTGTGGAAAAGAAGCTCTCCAATACTTTAGAAAAGAATTGCGCTGATGGAAAGTTATAAATCTTAAAACTGAGTCAAAGTACAAACTTTTCTGTATACTAGTTTAATGAAAGAAAACGTACATATTTTCACGTGTCATCTTACTATCTCATATTAATGTGATACAGAAAAAAAATTTTGTTTTGAACGTTCTTTTTGCTTAGCATGCTCCAAGCTTCTGTTAACATCCTTCATCGCTTAAAACACTACATACCTTCATATCTGCAAACATTTTGTTGATCAAAGGACCGAGTAAATGCCAAAGAATGAACACTTACTTATGCATTTTCATGAACGAAAACTGATTTGAAATTCTTTCAGTTTTGAACACAGAATTGATATTTTTACTTGAAGTACGGTATTTGTTGCACCATTAAACTTGTTAGTAACTCAAAATTTATATAACTACTTTTTATGAAACATATTTGAACATACAAAAATTAACAAACAGATAACATGTTCATGTTCCACTATCACATTTGACATTAGATCCGTGTCTCTGGATATTACTTGACAATTACACATCTACGTATTTTTTCATATATTTTATCTCAATAGGAGTAACCTATTTTTTTTTTTGATAGGTTATTATGATTATAATTGCGTCGATTTGATGCATAATTATATTTTCCTGTTGACGCATGCTTTTGTTGTTTTGTTCTTCGTCTTCCACAATGGATGATAAAACTAAATAAACGTTTGAATTCTAATCGTGCTTGTTTATTTAATGTAAAATAGAAAATAAAACTAAAACACATAGATACCACCGATAGAAAATAGAGTGAATAATTAATTAGAATAATACGTTTTAAATCGGAATGAAATGATGTTGATTTTGGCGAATCAATAATAGATGAAGGATTGTTAAAAACAAATACATCAGAAGAATTTGTTAGATTATTAATTGAATAACTCGTCTTTTTCTCTGTTTCAATTACCTGATAGGCATGAATCCATGTGTAGATATTATAAGGAGCCCAACAGAAGACATAAAATGTTAGTAATGATACTAACAAGAGGACTGTTTTTCTTGCATTGGCACATGCCTGAGCATTCATTTTATAAATGACAATTGGACATGGTGGATAGATTGTAGAAGAGGCATTTGTCGTTGAAGAGGAACCAGATGATGCTGATGATTGTGTTGTTGGACTCGTTGGTGATGTGATAATAGCAGTATTGATATTTGTTTGATGAGTTTCTACTGTTGTTATATTGCACATACGACGTCTACGTTTTGAATTGGGATTTATAAATGTTGCAGAATTTGCTGCTATTCGATGATAATTTGTTTTGGAATTTATTGCCAGATAATTTTGACGAATACTGTTTGTTGGTGGTAGAAGATACGTGGTTATATATTGTTGTTCATGTCGAGAACGAATGTAATGGATTAATTTTACATGTAAAAATAAACTTAATATAATTGGTAAAATGTAGAATGATACTAGGATAATGATGATAATTTTATATTGAGTATATTGGACAACGCATGTCATCATATGTTTTGATGTTCGAAGAACATAAGAGTGTAATGTGTTTGTAATAGCAACAGGTAAGCTAACAATAATGGGTATAATTAATAAAACTAATGAACATTTCTTTGTTGAGAGCCATTGTTTACATTTCGTCCATGTTGATCGGGTTGTCGTTGTTTGAACGTAGACAAAGATAAATCTGTCGATAGCACCTATATTTAAAAAAAATATATATAAGGCCGAAGGCAGGAAGCAAAGTATCCCTCCTTCATCATATTTTTTATACTTGTATCTATTTCGAGAAGCAAAGAAATATTGGCACGAAATGAGAAAACTAATAAGAAAGATCATGGGTTGATCAAGATCATGTCGCAATCTAATGATAAAATGTCGACAGAGTCAGATTATTAAGGTAATTTTAATCAGTGCTTTATGATAGGTAAGTGTCTCACTATTACAGTACCCCACAAAAGTAGCGGCTCCTGTAACTCAAGAATCATAATAGCTAGTGATTTCTAATTTGTGTGGTCATAGCTCTCACTGACGAGGGAACATTCCCAAGTGAGGTACCCCGATTTTGTTCCAACCTGGCAATTTATATGTAATCAAGGGTGCTGATTGCGAATATGGTAGCCGTTTGCGCCCATAAACCTTTTCTAGCGTTTCTCTGGAGAACCGATTTTCTATAAATTCCCCAAAACCCTAGCAATGTTTTATCAGCATGTTGGAATTGTAGTCTGAAAATTCTGCATCAAAATGAGACGCTTCCCAGCTTTCCACGACCTTTCTTTGCAAAGTTACAGAACTTACAAGAGAAGCCCTAAATTAATTTTCCTTTTTCTTTCTATATCTCTGAGCTGACAATGAACATTTAGGACTTCTCTTGTAAATTGTGTAACTTTGCAAAGACCGTGGAGAGCTGGGGAGTGTCATTTTGATGCAGAATTTCCAGGCTACAATTCCAACATGTTGATAAAACATTGCTAGGGTTTCAGGAGATTTTCAGAAAACCGGTTCTCCAGAGAAACGCTAGAAAAGGTTTATGGGCACAAACGGCTATCATATTCGCAATCAGCACCCTTGATTACATATAAATTGCCAGGTTTGAACAAAATCGAAGCGCCTCACTTGGGAATGTTCTCTCGTGAATGCTGATCATCCATCAAGTTTAAATCTCTTCTACCAGATGGTTCGTGACATATAAGCGACTTCTTTTCCGTAAAATGTAAATACCTCCTCATATAAGAGAGCTCAAAATCTTTTCTTTTTACCGAAATGTAGCAGAGCTTCTATTTTATCTATGGTATTAATTTCGTAAGTTGGCTATTAGTGATCAGTGAACTACAGTTATTTTCCGAGAGGGTTGTTTTTCTTGTTGTTGAAAATTTGAGGTTCTTTGCGAAAACAACTTACAACTCAATCTAGGAGCACATTTGACCTCAAAGTCGTACCAAAAACTCTACAGTGTCTTTAGACTATCTAGCCACGATATGAAGGTTAACTATTGTATGTTTCTGGAAATTCATTGAGAACGAGCACCCACGATCGAAACGTCTGTAGAAGGCTGTGGGCGAGGAACTAAGGCTTGTTCTTTCTACTATAGAACCTGCATTCAGTGTAAGTTACATCGTAATCATGAAAAAATAATCATGGAAAACTATGGTTTCGAAAAATGTAGGTGAACCTTTTGTCAGAAAGACTACACATTTACCTCTAACCTAGAGAGAAAATTTTCAATGAAATGTTTTTGTCTGGAAACCGAGTGTTAAGTATACGGTTCTTCCCCGTTTTTTTCACTGATCTCAAATATATTATTAGTTTTGCTTGGAGATATGAGGAAAGTGAAAAGGACGCAGAATAAGTGAAATGGCGGTGGTTAGAGGTGAGTGTATAAACTTTTTGATAGTCTGCAGACACTGTAGAGTTTTGGGTGCGACTTTGAAGTCAAAATGATGCTCCTAGATTGAGTTGTGAATTGTTTTCGCAAAGGACCTCAAATTTTCAACAACAACAAAAACAATCCTCGCGCAGTAGTGGATCCAGCCCGCAAGCGGTACAAGCGGCCGCTCGTACCTTTTAATCAAAAAAGCTTTTTTCCCAGCAGATCTCTCTTAGAATAATTTGTTTTTATGACGACCGCACGTATCTCGCATTTTTGTCGTATACCGCATGTACCAAAAAATAATTCTCGATCCGTCACTGCCCTCTGAGAAAATAGCTGTAGTTCACTGATCACTAATAGCCAACTTACGAAATTAATACCATAGATAAAATAGAAGCTCTGCTACATTTCGGTAAAAAGAAAAGATTTTGAGCTCTCTTATATGAGGAGCTATTTACATTTTACGGAAAAGAAGTCGCTTATATGTCACGAACCATCTGGTAGAAGAGATTTAAACTTGATGGATGATCAGCATTCAGTGAGAGCTATGATCACACAAATTAGAAATTACTAGCTATTATGATTCCTGAGTTACAGGAGTCGCTCGGTACTTTTGTGAAGTACTGTAGGCACAAAGCTAGAAACATATATCTTTGCACACAATAATATTTTACACGCTCTATTAATTGAAAAAATATGAAAATGGAATTACAGATATATTCCATTGGAACAATTTCTTGTAATGTATGAGTCAACAAACTTGAGAAGCCTTTGGAGTGGCGATTTTGCATTCAAAGCATGACTACCTTTCCTCTCTCCAACAGGAACAAGAAACAATTAAAATTTTAGAGTGCATGTGCCATCTCATGTATACCGTAAGTTGTAATTATTCGCCTTTTTAACATTAAATGAGAAAAGGCATGAGATGTTCATTTCTGTCATCATATAAATTACTTAAACTGTATGGGTTCTATATCATGCATCTTTTCCTGTGAAACAACTTTCTCTGTCTCTCTCTCTCTCTCTCTCTCTCTCTCTCTTTCTCTTTGTCATTTGTTAGATGGGTGGTGATTAGAGTTTCTGTGTCTTAAACGTGAAATAGCCCGATATTCTAAATATCTTTAATAATTATTTCCCCACTGACTTCAATTATCTATTATTTTTCATGTCAAAATAAAAGAAAATGAATACTACGATACTTCATGTCACACTTACCCAGAAGATGGTAAAAAATGATGCATGATGACAATAATGATTCCAAAAATGTGTGAAAACAACACAACCATGATTGACCGTACGTGTAGGATAAAAATCGATAGATTTCTATTGGACTATCAATGAGAACAAGACACAATTCACCTAATCGAAAAAATCATAATGCAAAAGATAAAGACAGAAAATTTGTGAATGAACAACTTACTAATAGCTAAACATAGAACAATACGATCGGTTTGAGATAGACGATGACGTTTTGAATATAAAATCTTTGCTAAAATCAAATTTCCGATAATTGATATACAAGAAACAATTGAAATAAGAATAATAAAAATAATTAATGATTTTGAATAGTTAATATCATTTAATAGAAATTCATCATCATCATCATCATATAATTTGCTTATATTCAATAGACAATTTTTAATGTTAACAATATTTAATAATGATGTTAAAGTTCGATTTGATAACAATTCATTCATTTCTGATGAAAAAGATTTATTTACTAATAAATTACATGGTAAATGATTATAATCCATATCAGACGAAATTAAGGAATGACGTTTCGTTATATTTGAAATATCTAAAGCAAAATCAATGCAGTGTTACAATTAATATTCATAAAGATAAAGAAAAGAGTATCCGTATAGAATATATACATTTGTTTTTAGAAAGATGTCTACTATCACATAGTTTTTTAAGATGAGTTGTAATTTTATCCTTATGTTGAATAACTAACATTGGATCGATTGTTGCATGGTTTACGCACACTGTTCCGGAAAGAAAGAAAAACTGAATAAATTTTATTTAGAATGAGAGATGCTTCTCGAAAGTCTTTCCTGTTTTGAAATAAAATAATTATCACGTGACCGAAACATGTTTTTTACTATTTCTGAAATAAAAAAACGGATTTGATTGGTAAAGAGATTAGAAAAAAAGATATTTTCAATATCTAACGTGCATTTTTACTTATTTGAGAAAACACACACACACAGTCGAAATACTGCGCAAAACTGATAAGTTAAAATACTCAAACTATTTCATCCTGTGTTCTGTCAACTACATAACACTAACTAACAAAGTAACTGAAACTACAAAGAGAAATATATGTCTTACTTAGAGTGGAAAAAAAAGAAGATAGAAGAAGAAAAAAACCTAATAGAGTTGATATGATTTTCTTTATTTCTTTTTATTTGCTATAATTCAAAAATAGTATGTGAGGTAGGCAATAATATCTAGATACATCATCATCTTATCTCTTGTGTGTGACGATGATGATTAAATTAATTTCTCTCTTTTTTTCTTTCTTACTTATTATTTCGATTTAAATATATAACGGATAATCATCGATGGAAAAACGTAGAATAATGATTTTTTAATGAATTACGTGTCAATACTATCTCAGTATGGAGTATTTTCATTAACTTTATCCATTTTCTTTTCCTGTAGTGAGCAAGTAAAAACTCGACATTCGCATACGATTTCGATCGCACGCAAGAGAAAATTTTTTCTGAAAACATCGATATTTCAAGAATATATTCTAGTACGTACATGTGAAGCTGATATTTTTAATGTGCATAGGTTTTATGCAATACAATCATAAGAATAATTAGAACAACTTATGAAATACATATAAGAGTTAGGAATAGGAACGAATCTCACTAACAATGGCTTCAGGGTATGCGATTATATCGTGCTAGATAATAATGATGAACATGCAGCATCATATAACTAACTATTAATATATTTCATTTTTCATATATATGTCTATTTTTAAAATAAACATATAGCGATGGAGTTTTTTCACTTCAGAAAAAAAATTTGTTGGATTCGATCATACTGCCTAAACAAAATCCGTATAGACATGTTTTCGCTTAAGGCATTCACACACATTAATGTCGGTTCTGTTGTGCTTTGTAAGATTAAAAAATAAACTAATGTCATTTAAAATTCAAATTATAATCGGATATGTCGGTAATGATTAGAACGAACGCTAAATATGTACGCAAATTAATATCTATAGTTGTGAAGAAATCTAGAGTTGTTGTGAAATAAAATTCATTCTCAAACGATACCACTCTGAACTGATTGGTATCGCTAGTTTGTTTGTTTGTGTTCTTAAACTGCATTATAAGACACAATTGAGTAGAAAAATGAACTGCTTTTATCAGAAGTGTTACTATACGGAGACAACAGGTGAAGACACGTAACGTGAAGACGATTACATGTAAATCGTAAAATTGAGTTCACTGAATGGTGCTCGGTTTATCGAAGAAAGGACATTAACATACAGGAAAAGAAATAAACTCATCCAATAAAAGATGAATTTGACAGTTTACAAAACACGTTGTATGACTCAAAAATCTTACAGGGAGGATAAAACGTCCGCTTTATGGCAATCTTTAATGCAAGGAACGGCGTGAAATAAAAAGAACTAAAGAAATGAAACTTTGAAAAAAGGACAAAAAGATTTTTTTCAACCATTTTGATATTCAAAGTGTCCTGTCTCTTTAGAATGGTTTTAAAGAATAGCAAGTTATGTGGAAAATGAATGCAGTGAGAACAGAACTGATGTTACTGGAGGGGGAGACGAAACTCCCAAAAAAATAAAAATCCTCGATTGTTTCCAGCAGAAAAAAACAATTTTATTGCATTCTCTAAAAAAAAAACTTCTTCTCTCAATGGTCTGACTGGTTGCGACAGCCCTGAGGGAGAAGTTCTGAAAAATTAACTGCTTTAATTTTATTGCAAGTCATGTTTTATGAGGACACCGAATATAGATAGATAAAAGACCATATATAAAAAAGTGGTTTTCAATAATTTTTGTTTTTCACATCAGACGGTAGCGTATTCTCCAGCCTGCAGGGATGTGCTTGTATATGGCTCAAGTTTTTTTATACTCGCCATACTTTTAATTTACTCACAGCGATACTCCTCAAGTGTCAAACCAGTTTTCCTCCAAACAAGCTTTGCTTGATAAGCACGTTTGGAGATTTTGTACTGAAAATAAAAAATTGTTGATATTTATCTATGTTTGTGTAGTTGTATAATAGATAATTCTCATTCTTCGATCTGTATTGTATCATTGTTGGTCATGAAAGTATAGATCAAATGTCGAATCTAGACCGTTCAAATTGTAATTGTTATTATATCAAATAATTAATGCAAAATAGCTGTCATATGTACACAAACTCTGATATCATACAGTAAAAAACTTCAAGCGTTTCATATGGAATCTTTCTCTTACCAAACTCAAAATGGTTTCATACAAAACATTTGAGGTTTTTTACTGAATGATTTCAGAGTTTGTGCGATACCATGCATGGTAATTCAGTACAAAACCTTCTTTCAAGTACGGAGCCTTTTTAGAGTTCCTTACTCACTACGAACCTTCAAAAAGGTTTCGTAGTAAAAAACGGTTTAAACATTTGTCACCATCTACTATACCTTTTTATTTTTCCAGCAGAAAAAAGTTCGGTAATGTACCTTTTTTTTCAGAGAATAGTACAAAAATTGTGTTGATCGTATTTAAACAATTCAAACGGTGTCTAAGGTGTTTCTAAGATACGTTTCACTCGATCGGGTTACCACTCTGCCCGTAGGGCAGTTGACATCTAGTTACATCGACCGAATGAAACTCAGGAGTGAATATATGCAACAGTGCTTGATATAATAAAAGCTATAGTAGGCACGATAATGAATCAGCTATTATGTCAATGTGAATAATATGCCGTAGAAGGTACACAGACATATAAGTTTCTAGATCTTCTAATTTCGTCTGTTTACCGTTTCACTCGTCGACTTTCTAATCTTTCCGAAGCGTAGTTGGTCTCTAGTTTTTTCTTTCTTTCTTTCCACACTCTGTTTTCGTGTTCGAGTCACACACTCGTTCTCAGTTACCTCTGATCATAAAGATTTCGGAAAAATATGATTCGAAAGTAGAAAAGTGGAAGATGACACATCTCAAGTGTTTTTCTGGATATTTCTTTTAGTTATCGTATAGCATATTTTCTATAACTTTTCTAAAAGATAATTAATTGTCAAATGACACTTCATATAAGATGCACGCAAAGCAAAAATGCAGTAAAAAAATTATCTTTTTACATACCATACACCATTCGATAGAGAATTTCAAGGCGGTCAAGAATATGTGTGCCTTGAGTTTTCTCAACCCTTTTTTACGGTTGAAAATTTGAAAAAACTGAGAAGGTGTCGAAAACAGCCAATTTGGCAGCTTTTCTTAGATTCCTCTTTTTTCTAAATATGTTACGAGATGGAATCTTCTAACTTAGTTTTTCTGATAGATCATAGAAAACTGAATATGAAACTGGTTTTAAACCATTCTTAGAACAAACCATCGGCTCACAAAATAATTATCCAAGACCCATGTTCAAAAGCCGAAACTTACTTTTGCAAGTCTATCACAGGTTTTTCTAGAGATGCTAGAGCCAATATTTTTACATGGTTAGATTCGTCAGATGCATAGCTCCAAAGTTACGAATAGCTTTTTTAAAAATTCCTTTTCCTCGCTGAGAAAAATCGATTTTACTGAGGACACCTCCAAATGGGCCAGGTGATTTTTAGTTATTTTTTTCTGTTCTTCCCCAATATAGTCAAAATATATTGATATAAGTTAAAATCGATGCCCAACCAACAGACATACTCTAAAGATCTTTAGAGGATTTCTAGAAAACCTTCCAGGCGAGCTTTGGCTGAATAATCTATGTTTTATTTTAAAAATCACTTCGCTATATTCTTCTGAATCAACTTTGGGTCTACCTACTCCAGGTCTTTGTAATCACTCTCTCTGTGTATTTGTATTATCTCTCACTCTTCAGTACTATCAAACTCAAGGCACACATATTCTTGACCGCCTTGAAATTCTCTATCGAATGATGTATGATAAGCAAAAAAAAAATTTCACTGCAACTTTGATTTCCGTGCATCTTACATTCAGTATGAATAGTGTAGAGTGCTTCACTAAGTAGTCACGTGTCGCTTATCAGTCTATACTTGATGTATTTATAGTCTGAAACCTTACTACAGATAGAATGTATTATTTGTTTACTACTAGAATACTGCAGTCTTTTAATCGTATTTCAGGGATTCAAGCAGTGTCTAAAGTGTTTCTAAGATACGTTTCACTCGGTCGGTTTTTCAATCTGCTCATAGGGCAGCTGGCATCTTTCTTTTTTCTAGACCCTACTTTCTGCTTCGAAAGAGCATTTGATCAGATTTGGAAAAAAGATCATTCGAGAGTGCAAGTGAGGTAGATGAAACAGCTAAAGTTATTTTTTCAATACTTGTTTTAATTGTTAAGTAATCTGTCTTAAGAGTTGAGTATATTTTGAATAACTTTTCTATAAGATAATTAATTGTCACGTGACACTTCGTGTACATTCGGTACGAATAGTGTGAAGTGATTCATTAAGTAGTCACGTGCTACTTATCAGTCTATACTTCTGTACAGTTTGATACATTTATACTCTGAAACATTACTATCGATAGAATGCACTGCCTACTAGAGCACTGCAGTGTTCTAATCGTATTTAAGAGATTCAGACGGTGTCTAAAGTGTCTCTAAGATACTTTTTACCCGGCGGGTTTCCAATATGCCTGTAGTGTAGGTGGCATCTAGTTCTTTCTTCGTTAAGTCGACTGAGTGAAACTCAGGAGACTTATTGCTTTCCACTCGGACCGTTGCCTAGCAAAATTCTTCTTTTTTTTCTTTCTTTCTTTTCATACCGTTTTTCTCGTT